AAAAAAAAAAAAAAGAATTGGCCCCAAATAATTATTCAAAAAAAAAAAAAAAAGCAAAAGAATGGGGAGGCAGCAGGTGGCATGGTGGTTAAGGCACTGAACTGCCACATGGCCAAACACAGTTCAAAACCTGGACCCAGCAGCTTCACAATCACGCTGTGCATATGTGCCCAAAATCTAGAGAGGAGAAAGGACCGTAGTATGGTCATCCCCCCTGTAGGGTGATTTCTCACTTTTCCTCTCTCCAGAGAGTGCATTTTGCTATGGCAAAAACCAAGGGGAAAAAGAACAGCATGGGGTGAGCGTTCAGGTGGGTCTGGGTCCCAGCCTCCCCCAGGGCCTGGCTATTGGCAGCCTCAGGAGACGGCTGACCGGGAGAAGGGGATGCACTCTGCCCAAGGTGGGGGGCACTGAAGTGGATGAGCGTCTCACTCAGGTCCTGTCCTTCTCTGGATTAGAGGGCAGACTGCACCAGAGGAAATGCCACTTCCTTCCTTCCTTTCTTTTTTTTTAGGTTTGCTTTAGGACATGTGCACTGAGGAGGGGGAGAGAGACAGAGAGAGTGAGAGGAAATGTGAGAAATCACCCCCTGGAGGGGATGGCCACACCGCAGCCCCCTTCTCCATTCTCCTCCCAGCATCTCGGCCACGCACACACACGTGCCCAGCGTGATTTTGAAGCCATAGTGTCTGGAGTTTCAACCGTGGTCTGCCATGTGGGAGTCCAGTGATATAACTGCTATGCCATCTGCTGGCCCCAAGTTACACCCTTGTAGGTAACTTGTCTCCAAAAGCTGAGCTGTCCCCTTGCAGCCTGGGAAAGCTCTCCCAAAGAGCAATGGGGCTGAGGGGGCAGCTCTCTCCTCAAAGACAAAGGCAGGAAGAAACTGAGGAAAGGGAGGACTTCTTTCCCAAACGGGGTCACATGGGCACCTACGGAGAGATCTAGAATGCACCGTTCCTTAAATACCTTCCACGTTCAGACCTAAACGAAAGCGAGTGGATAGGGAGGAAGCAAGGAGAACCTACCTTCTTGGAGAAGAGGATTTGGGTGGAATCTCCAGCCTCCTCTAAGGGAGCCCAGTGCAGGACGACATCGTTGTCCTGAGAAAAGGCGCGGAGTGAGGGCCTAAGTCACGGCAGCTCCTCAGACCACTCTCTCCAAAGTCTCCGCCGTTACCCCAAGACCTCTTCCCCGGCCTCCACCCATCCCCATTCCCACCCTCACCCTTCCAAGGGTCCCAAGTCTGATCTCCCGGCCACACTCCTTCAGACGCAGCCTCCAGCCCGCTCAGAGCCCGCTCGGGTTCTGCCTTCTGGCCCACCTTCTCCACAACACGGATCACGCCAGCGATCAGAGAGTCCGGGTCCTGGTGCTTCTTGGCACTGGTGTGCAGGTACACGCCCCGCTTCTCGAACACCACCTGGGGAGGGACCGGTGAGGGCGGGGCCGGAGCGGGGAAGGACACGCAGGGGACGGGCCGGGCCCGGGGCCAGTACTGAGGGCTAGGGCGGGAGCTGTCCAGCCCAAAGACCAGGCGGCCGCGGGGTGCGCGAGTGTCCACGGGGGCGGGGCCAGGGCGTCGCTCACGCCCAGGGGGCGGGAGTAACAATTCTCCCACCCCCGAGCACGGCCAAGGGGAGGGTGACGGCGCGTTTATAAACAACAGTATTTGCTGCGGCTCTGCCGGGCTCCCAGAGCCCTCGCACGACCTGGGGGCGAAGGGGGCCTCCGGATGGGGGCTTTTTGCATAAACAGAAGCGAGGGAATGAGTCCTCAACGCTTACCCTGTAGCCAGGTTCCTCCATAGCTGCCGCCGAGGCGCCACTATCTCGGCCTCGTCCTTTTCCGGGTCAACATAGTGTCACATCCGGAAAAGACACTCTCCCTCCAGGCTGGACAGTAGTAGCGCCCCTACTCGTTCTAGAGCAGGAGTGGGTGAAACCATTTTAAAAACTGGGGAGATAAAACTAGGAGGCTCCAAGTCACATGGCGCAGATGCTAGAGGTGGAGTCGGCCAGCGAGCGTGCGCACGCGCGATGCGACGGCTCTCACCGCGAAGTAAACAAGTGGGCAGGTCCAAGAGCTCCACCCCTAGCTGAAGTTTTCCCCGGAACGCCCACTTCCGTCTCCATCTTCAATACTGGAATCGAAGCCAAATAGGTGCCATTTTGCTCCAGGGCACGGGCAATGCAGGTCAGCTGAGGCCATGCTAATGCGAGGCAGTCCCGTTCCTCTGCGTGGTGCGAGAGCGAGAGGCTGGAAAAGAGCAGATAAAAGAAGAGAAGATGAGAGGAGCTGTACATCACAAAAGGCACTGAGGGACTCGGGATAACGGAGTGAAGTCGTCAGTACCCCCGGAAAAGAAGCAGTGCCAGACGATTGCTGTCACCGTCGCGAGAAAGCAGGATGAGCCGCCATCTTGAAGCTGGGCAAACCGAAGCGAGAAGGACTGCCATATTGGATCTTTGCCAACTTTTTTGCGGAAGAGGGCTAAGTTGGAAGGAGGGAGAGCCCATATACGTTATGGGCAGATGAATCCAAGCTGGTTGCCATGTCGCTAGCAGTCATCGCTTTTCTATTTCTATGGAAGACGTTTATAGGTGAAGGGTGCCAGATCATGTTAATTATGTAGTTAAGTGTGGTCATGAGCACGTACGGATGGCCATATTTTTTAAGGGCACATCGAAGTGGTTCTGGCTCATTGCAGTGCTTGCTGAAGCCTTTCATTCGCCATCTTTCCTATGGGCATCCTGCTTTCGTCATTGCGCCACCGTTCGGTGTGAAGTCGTTGTAGCTGCCATTTTGGTTTCGGGGTACCACGATAAGGGAGGCGGAGTGTGCGGGATGAAGGCGGGGCGGCTACACGGAAGTGACGTTCCGTGCCGCCATGTCTTTTGAGGGCGGCGACGGCGCCTGGCCGCCATGCTGGCTACGGGCACGTGAGTGGAGGCGGCGTTGTGAACCACGGTGTGGGGAGGACTTGGCCGTCCTGAGGCAGAGGGGCGCTGGGAGGGTGAGCAGCTCACGGAACGGGCATGGCCTGCATAGACCAGAGGGTAGATGGCGTCCAGCAATTCGTTGATGAACGCTGGAAAGGGGTCTCCCGCGAGAACCATCGTTCTGACCCGAGGCAAATCCTAGACAGACTTACCTCCGGTGTCTAGGCCCACTGGGCCCCTTGCCTTGACCGTGGACCATGTCCAAGGGGTCGCGGGGTGGCTCGGGGGGCCTTGGGTCGCCCCTCACCCGTCCAAAGGCGGGACTTCCGGTTCTGGCCCCCACCTGGGCGGGACTTCCTGTTTTCTTTCTAGCGAAGTGGGTTTTCCTTGGACCCTGGGCGCGGTGAAGAGGTCTCCGCGTCCCAGCAGAGCCCAGGCGTTCGCTCCATCCTCGGCTGCCGCGTGCATGTTCGGGCCCTCCCTCGGGTGAGGGGCACTAACAGTTTGGAGGTGTTGGCAGCATCCCTCATTCCTCGGAAGACTATTCTCTTCTTCTCCCTAGTCAGTTTCCTTCATCTGCTCGCTGGCTCTCTTCTCGACTGACTTCTTCCTAGGGGCCAGTCACCTTATTGCACCCTCCCGTCTCCCACCACGGGGTGGGGGCTTTCTCCATCTCTCAGTTCCTTGGAGGAGACAGGACTTCCTCCAGAAGCTGAAGGGTAAGGGCTTGGCAACTCAGCCCCGGGCCTTGGTGGCAGGTCTGTGTAAGCCGACCACCTTCTTTGTTTCCTGGCCATCTCTGTGATGTGGGTGGACCTTACGTACCTGCTCATGCCCGTTCACTGTTCAACCCCGGGGCTGAACTGCCCCAAGATCTAGTTCTTTCCTGCCGGCCACTCTTCCCAGAATCCCCCAGCCCTGGTTCCCGGCTTCATTGGGGGTTAGGAACCCAAGGAAGTGAGACCCCAGGCCTAGTACCGCCCAGCAGCGTGACTGTGGGCCACTTTCCTGCTCCAGGGCTCGATTTCCTTCTTCATCAGATAGGAAGACATGAAGGGTTCGCCTGAGGCCCTGGGCACCCGCCAGCCCTGTGGGGTGTTGGAGCCAGGCAGACAGTAGTCTCTGCCCTACATCTGGTCTGTCCAGCCGTGTGCCTTCTGACTAGCATCTTAAGTTCTCTGTGCCTCACTTTCCCCATCTGGATTAGATCATAAATCTTGCCTCATAAGGTAGGCACGCAGGTGGCAGTCGGTGTTAAGAACAGGCCTTGGGTCCAGACCATTAGGGTCCAGGTCCCAGCTCTGCTTCCTTCTGGTGTGTAATCCTGGGCAAGATACAGAGTCTCTGGGCCTGAGTTTGCAGCTGTAGAGTGGGGTGGTAGTAGCTTCTCCCTGCGGCGTGGGGTGAAAGTGCTGGATGAACCTCTTACTCCCAGCAGGCTCGGGTAACGTTAGCGCTCCCACCATGGTGAGTGAGGTGGGAGGTGTGGAGTCCCTGCACTGAGCAGGTGCTCAGCAAACCCAGGTCACTGCTCGACTCCCGGCAGTGACACCCAGGGAGGCTCCTGAGTGGCCCAACTTCTCTGAGTCAAGCACTCAGGCTAACAGGGGAGAAAGTGAGGCTCAGAGAAAGCCAGTGAATGGCCTAGAGTCACACAGCAGGTTGGAAAGAGTCGGATCAGTACCCCATACCCCCATACCCCTGCCCCGGATTCCTGAGGCTAACCTTGGAGGCTTAGCCTGGGGGAGGAGGCAGACTGCAGTACAGCTGTCGTGAGCTCAGGTGACCTGAGCTACCCAGGCCCTGGGGCTAATGAAGACATCTGCTGCATCCCGGGGGTCAGGGCCACTCCAGAGGGACTGGCAGAGCAGCCTCGCAGGAAGTGCAGAACCCTGGGTGGGGCCCAGCACAGAGCAGCCACCATCTTTGTGCCTTTGTCCAGTGCCTGCACTCAGGCCTCAGTTGTGGAACCAGATGGAAATGCCCAGAGGAAGGGCTGGAGGGGGGTTGCTCAGATGCCGTGGGGCTCGGAGAAGGGTCTGGCTCTATCTGGGTGAGGGCTGAGTGAAAGCTGGGGGAGAACGGAGGGCCGTCCAGTGCCAGGCTGAGCCCTTGTCCTGGCACTCCGGGAGGGGGCTGTTAGCCCTGGGTTTAGAGACTTCCCTGGGTCCTGCGCTGGGTCGACGGGAGGCGGGGGAGGCCCAGGGGAGCCAAGGCGCTGGTGCAGGGCTCCATCTGGCAGAAACAGGCAAACCAGGGTGTGCTTCTCACTATCCTAGGCACCCCGTGGGCAGGGTAGAAAGAGGACAGGTGTAAGCTTAAGCATGTCTCTCACTCAGCCAGAGTGACCGGACCGTTTTCACACGGACCGCTACCCCGCAGCTCGCAGCTCAGCTGTCTTATGTCCCCTTTTTTGTACTGAGTTCAAAGCTCGGTGTGGGTTTCACACTCACTGGGCGTCTGGCACAGTCCTCACACATCCAGTACTCCTTGGTCACTGTGGCTGGTGGCCCCACAAGGGACAGGGCTGAAGTGATGTGGGCAGGAGGGATGGACGATGAGGAATTGGGGCAGAGGGGTGTGGAGAAGATGCTAGGCTTAGAGGCCAGGTGGTGGGAGGGCTGGTTGGACACAGGGGCAGGAGGGTGGGGACATGCTCGAACGCTCAGCTGCTGCTCCTGCTCTGGCCCACAGGGCGCGGATGGCGTCAGGGCGCCCCGAGGAGCTGTGGGAGGCCGTAGTGGGAGCAGCCGAGCGCTTCCGGGCACGGACGGGCACGGAGCTGGGTCTGCTGGCCTTGGCCCACCGGGCTGCTGCTGCTGCCCGGCCCCCCGGGCCACCCCCCATCCCACAGCCGCCCAGCCCAGCGCCCAGCCCACCCCGGCCTGCTCTGGCCAGGGAGGATGACGACGACGAGGAGGACGAGCCCACAGAGACAGAGACCTCTGGGGATCGGCTGGGCGTGAGCGATAATGGAGGGGAGGGGGCAGGGTGGGGCACTGGTGGCTTGGGCTTGGCAGGGCCTGGAGCAGCATCCTGGGAGGACAGCTGGGCTTGTCCTGACGAGGCTGCAGGCTCCGTCCGGGCTTGCTTGGAGTTTGCTGAGTTACCTTAAGCCGGTAACTTCCCCTCTCTGAGCTTACATCAGCTCCCTTACCCTGGTGTCCTGGGCCAGCTCCCACTGGGATCACGCCTGGGCCCTTGTCTCAAGGGGCGATCCTTTGTGGAGGCTGTGGGGCAGGCTCCATCGGAGAGGAGCTGGGCAGAGCCAGAGGGCTTCCGGTTTGGGCGCCAGCGCCCAAAAGAAGCCAACAGAGTTATCGAGGAGTCAGGGACTCAACCAGCAGCAGAGAAGGCCAGGGAGGAAGCAGGCGGCTGTTAGCCGGGAGTCGGGAGGTTGGGTACTAGGCACAAGCTGCGGTACTACTAGGGCTCTGGGAGGAGCAGGAGCTTGCAGGGAACCCAGTGCAGAGTTGTTACCCACGGCCGGCCTCACATTGCTGGAGAAAAGCCACGTAGGCTGACAGGCACAAACTCGAGCCAGGCGTCCTGGGTTCCAATCCTTTTGGTGCTACTTTATTACTTTTTTTAAAGAAATATTTTATTTAACTTTATTTATTTAGTTTGACCGGAGAGGGGCAGAGAGAGAGAGAGGAAGCAAGCTGCCAGGTCCAGGACTTGAACCATGGCCGGCCGTGTGTGAGTCCAGCTCCCTTAACCACCACACCACCTGCCAGTCCTGGTGCTACTTCCTTTTTTTTTTTTAAGAGAGATTTTTGACATAGGCACATGCGCTCACCAGAGAGACAGAGACAGCAAGTGAGAAATCACCCCCCGGGGGATGGCCACGCTGCAGCCCGTTCTCCATTCTTCTCTTGAGATTTTGAGCACAAACACGGGTGCCCAGTCGACTATGTGGAAGTCCAGCGCCTTAACCACATGCCCCCTGCTGGTCCCTTTCTGTTGGTATTTTGAGTCTGGTCCTAGAGGTGTCACGTTAGCATCACAGATGGGCAGGTGCTGCATTTGTCCCTGCCAGTGACTGGGGACGACCTTCCAGGCAGGGAGCAGCAGTCACAGAAGCCCCAGGGAGGTGGCAGTGGCTGGAGTCGGGGCACTGGGAGTGCAGCGGGGACCTCACTGGCCTGGCTTCTGACGCCACCACAGGTCTCTTTGTGATGGACGAGGATACCACCCTCCAGGACCTGCCCCCCTTCTGTGAGTCGGACCCTGAGAGCACAGACGGTGAGTGGCCCTGACTGCCCACCCCAGGGCCGGCAGGGGGCAGGGGCTGAGACCGACCCTCTCTCTCAGATGGCAGCCTGAGCGAGGAGACCCCCACTGGCCCCCCAGCGTACTCAGTGCCCCCTGCCACAGCCCTGCCCACTCAGCAGTATGCCAAGTCCCTGCCCGTGTCCGTGCCCGTCTGGGCCTTCAAGGAGAAGAGGACAGAGGCGCGGTCGTCGGATGAGGAGAATGGGCAGGTGAGGAGCAGATGCAGGGAGGGAGGAGGCCAGCTGTGAGGGTGCAGCGCCAGCTCCTCCACGAAGCTCTCGGGCCTGGGTGCTGCTGTCACCCGTCAGCAGTTGAAGCCTCCCCTCAACCCCAAGAGGCAGGTTCCTGGTCGGAGCCTGTGGTCGGAGCCTGGTGCAGCCTCGCGTGTCCTAGTGCCTCGGGGCGTCACTCCTTTCCACGAGCAGCTTGGTTTACAGAACACCTGCTCTGGGCAGCATGAGTGTTTTGGCAGTCCCTCCAGATGGGGAAATGAGGTCTTGGTGAATGAGATCACTCCCACCCGCACCCCGCGCATGCCTCCCTCATCCGCCCGCCCTCTGTCCCCCCTTCACAGTCCTGTGTGTGGGATTCCTGGGCTAGGCTGGTCTTGGGGGGGGTCCTCGTTGCCCATCAGTGTAACACCCTAAAGCAGAGGGGAAATTGAGGTACTGGCCAGGCATGTGACTCCTTGAGGGGCAGAGTGAGAACTGGGACCCAGCTTTCTTTCAGGAAGGAGCTCTGGGCTTCAAGGGAAGCAGTCTGGGTCCCTGACCCCCTCAGACGGCAGTGTCCTCACTTGTAAACTGACATTCAGAGCAGTGTCCCCATGGTCCCATCCCCCGCAGGAAGAAGGAGGGCCTGGCAGGACGGTGAGGTGACTCGGTGACTTGAACTGTGGTCGACTACATGGGAGTTCGGTGACAGCCATTACGCTAACTGCTGGTCCCAGCCCCATTTTTCAGAGGGGGAGACTGAGCCCTGGGAAGGCATATCTGACGTTCAGAATTAGTGGGTCTGATTGGAAGGTGATGGAATCCCCAGTCCAGGTCCTCAGACATTAGCGCCTGTAATGAGCACAGTCTGTGGTCGGCGCACAGACTTCTGACACACGAAGGGCAGTGGGACAGGCAGCTGGGAGGAGAGTGGGGCAGGTGAAGAGGGCTTCCTGGAGGAGGTGCAGTAGAGCTGGGTAAGAGGGCTCTTGCATGGAGCAAGACAGGATGAAGGGCGCTGCTGGCAGTGGGCGTCGCGGGGCACCAGTGGGAATGCCCTGCGCACCGGCTGGAGCCCCAGGAGCAGGCACTGACTGGCTGCAGGGGTGTGGCAGGGGCCCTGCCAGCGCTGACCCCGCCCTGTCGCCGTCTCCGCAGCCCTCATCGCCCGACTTGGACCGCATCGCGGCGAGTATGCGTGCCCTAGTGCTGCGCGAGGCCGAGGACACCCACGTCTTCGGGGACCTTCCGCGGCCACGGCTCAACACCAGCGACTTCCAGAAGCTAAAGCGGAAATACTGAGGCCCAGGGAGCGAGCTTCCCGGCCCTCACCCGCCCCCTCACGTTACAGCCCCGCCCCGCCCCCGGGGTCGCCAATCTGAGTCTGATCCTGGGCGAGACTCCCCAAGTCTCCAGGGCCCCGGGATTGACCGGTCTCTGCCAGGTCCCGCGCCTCCCGCGCGGAAGAGCGGAACCTGTCCAGTCTCCCGATTGGATCTGTCGCCACATTTTCCGCCCAGCGACAGAATCTTAAGTGATTGGATCGCTTCCGGTCGAGGGCGTGGCTAGTTCAAAACCCCACGAGGAGCCGCTTGGTCGTTTTCCCCATGGCGACAAGGGCTTTGCTCACACGGTATTGGTTCCATCCCTGAAAGTGCACAACTGAGCCCCAGGATTGGGTGTTGGCGCTGCACTTCAGCTGGATGACTGGACAGCTTCTCTTGATTGGCTCCTATCCTGCACAGGGCTTGGCCGATCTCCGAGCGTCACCATCGGCCCTTCCTGATTTCTCCTTCCTGATTGGCTGTAGCCTGGCGGGGACGCGGTCAAGCGCACCTGTTCCCAGAATTGGCCTCCAGCCTTGAATCTACGTTTTTCACACTACTGGGGCTGGGGTCGTTTTGGCCTGATCCTACCCTTTCCTCTGACGCCCCTTTATTGGTACCATCGCCACAGCCTGGCCACAGCCTGTCGGTCGAAACCCGTCCCTGAATCCAGGGCGGTACCAGCTCCCGCCTCTCCCCGACCCCCACAGGTGCCTTAAAGGGCCCTCGTCCTCCCAAGGTGGGGGGGAGGTGAAGGGCCTCACTCTCCGGCCCTGGTGTGGGGGAGAGAGTGGAAGGTGGGGATTGGGAGTTAGGGGTGTTCTGTGATTAAAGTTTTACCTCTGACAAGTGAGTGAAGCGTTTTGTGGGTGTTCCTGCAACAAGCATTTTTGAAACTGGGCAGAATCTCACTGATTCTCCGTGCAAAGCTGGAGTTACTGTCCCCACCTTGCAGGTCAGGGATTCATGGGTGAGAGGGCATTCAGTCCTGTGTGACCATTGCACCCTAATTTTTTAAAAATAATTTTATTAAACTTTATTAATTTGACCAGAGAGGGACAGAGTGAAAAAGTAAGCCACCAGGTTCAAGACTCAAACCACAGTTGGCCATGTGGGAGTCCAGTGCCCTTGACCAACACCCCACCTGCCAGCCCCACCCTACCTCACCCTAATCTAAGGAATGGTCTTTAGAAGGCTCGGGAGGCTGTTTCCTTGCAAAGCCAGGAACCTTCAGCAGGGACTTCCTAAATAAAGAGAGCAGGAGGCTAGAGAGCAGTTGGGGCCGAATTAGGTCAAGTGAAGAGGTGACCTCCACCTCCCACCAGATCACCTCGGGGAGTGCTAACACAGGATCACCCACTACCGCCCACCTCCCACCAGATCACCGCGGGGAGTGCTAACACAGGATCGCTCACTACGGCCCACCTCCCACCAGATCACCTCGGGGAGTGCTAACACAGGATCACCCACTACCGCCCACCTCCCACCAGATCACCGCGGGGAGTGCTAACACAGGATCGCTCACTACGGCCCACCTCCCACCAGATCACCTCGGGGAGTGCTAACACAGGATCACCCACTACCGCCCACCTCCCACCAGATCACCGCGGGGAGTGCTAACACAGGATCGCTCACTACCGCCCACCTCCCACCAGATCACCGCGGGGAGTGCTAACACAGGATCGCCCACTACGGCCCACCTCCCACCAGGTCACCGCGGAGAGTGCTAACACAGGATCGCCCACTACGGCCCACCTCCCACCAGGTCACCGCGGAGAGTGCTAACACAGGATCGCCCACTACGGCCCACCTCCCACCAGATCACCGCGGGGAGTGCTAACACAGGATCGCCCACTACCGCCCACCTCCCAGCAGATCCTGGCGGAGATTGCTAACACAGGATCGCTACCGCTCAAAAATGCTCCTAGGCTGTTTACAGATATTCACTCCTTTAATCTTCCTAGTAACTTTACCAGGTGGGAACGATTATCCCCACTTTATAGGCGAGAAAACGGAAGCGTCGAGGATAAAACAAGAACGATCTAGGACTAGGGGCGCTGTCGGGGGCGGGGTTTCTTCGACTTACAGTAACTATGGCTCAGAAAAAAGTTTCTCCCGCTGTAACTATTTCCAGCAGAGATTGGAAATCAAAGCCGAAAGGAAAAACTGAACAGAGGACCCACTCCCGCTGCTGGCCCGGGGCCCTCATTGCAGCCCGAGAGGCGGAGGTAGGCCGCGCTGAGGGACTGAGGGCCCCGCCCCAGCCGGGAGAGCGAGTC